GGCTTGTTAAGACTTTGGTTCACTGCTGTGTGTGGCTTATTGAGACTTTGATTCACTGCTGTGTGTGGCTTATTGAGACTTTGATTCACTGCTGTGTGTGGCTTATTGAAGACTTTGATTCACTGCTGTGTGTGGCTTATTAAGACTTTGATTCACTACTGTGTGTGGCTTGTTAAGACTTTGGTTCACTGCTGTGTGTGGCTCATTAAGACTGTGGTTCACTGCTGTGTTTGTCTTGTTAAGACTTTGGTTCACTGCTGTGTGTGGCTCATTAAGACTGTGGTTCACTGCTGTGTTTGTCTTATTAAGACTGTGGTTCACTGCTGTGTTTGTCTTGTTAAAGCTGTGATACACTGCTGTTCCCTTTTCTCAATGTGAGATACAGTAGGCTCACATCTGCTGCAAGAGCTTCATTTTCACAATGAATATGTGAACTACGATGAATACCAAATAGCTGATTTCAGAATACATATACATATGTATAAATATTTATATTTTGTACCTTTAGAATTCTTGATCTGTTAGTTATTGAGAGTGTATTATAGTGAACATATTAATGCAAGAGGCTGTAATGCTATGAAAGGGAATTCTACAGTTGGCACAACAGCAATTAAGATTATTAAATGGATGCTGAAACATCAATACAAGGCATATAAAATAATTTAACCAAATTTACTAATTAAATGTGTTTTTTTCCTTTATATCGTGGCAACTTTTGGAGGCCACCATTTTCACTTCATCTTCCCCTTCATCCTTTCTTCTGTGACCTAGAAGTGTATGTGATTGGCTTAATAGGACACATCTCCGTGATCATGCACTTTACTATGTATTGCAGAATCTTATGATTGTATCAACATACACTTCTACTTAACCCTATGGTGCCTGGATTCACTATCAGAGAGAGGGTAACATCCTTCTCATTGTATTTTGTTACAAAATTAAAACTGGTGGGTGAAAGTATTTGAAATTTGACAAAAATGTTCCTAAAATTATGTTGTTTCAGAAAAAATATTTGATTTTTACATTTTTTATTATTTGTCATAAAAATTTGTTATTTATATAGTTATTTGAACTTAGACTCTGAATAGTTCACCTACAAGGTGATTTTCATTTTTAGTAGAAAAATGCTATTATTATCTTCCAGTCTGCACTTTTCATTTGCATAATCTCTAGAATCTCAAAATTGAATATCAAGTTTTTTTAATTAAGGTAAATGTTTATCTTTTATTTTCCATTTTCTATACTATAGCATCAACATACAGTGCAATGAAATGTTTAAAATTAATGCATGGAAATATGTAGATATCTTTCAACTCTTTGTAGAAATCCACTAGAATAGTTGTATTTTTCTTATATGCATAATTTCTTCTCTTTATCTTTACATTTGTAGTTTATTTTTAATTTTCTTTTCAACTTCTTCCTCTTTTATCATTTATGCCAATACATCAACTGATGTCTGCAGGGCTTTATGAAGTTATTTTGGCAGATTCCCCACAGAAATGCATTGCAAAACAATATGGTGTTTATACACACCATTTTGTTTATAAACTTTCACAATTCACGTGACAAGTTAAACTTTTAAAAATCATTAAAACATTCAAATATGATACTTAAAATACACGTAATACATAGTTAACTAAATACATACCTAAATACAATTTAATTGTTTCTCTAACTATAGCATATTTAGGTAAGAAACACAATTCTAAAATTGTCTAGAAACGTTTTATCAATACTTACATAGCTCCGACAATCATTTGTGTTATGAGTTCATAATATAAAGTTCTCTTTTTGCAAATAAATATGTATGCAATAACCTTCTTTTTTGTTGAGATTGATTAATACTTTTATATTTTATGATAACTTGAAATCCTGATTAAACTTTAATTTAGCTTTTAAATAAAATCTAGGTCTTATTTAGAAAATCTAATAATCTCTAGCTTACCTTATTGTAACAGAGTAAACTCTTTTACAGTATTTAAACAAATAACTGAATAATTTATATCTTGTTTTGTTGTAAAGTATAAATACTCAGTAAGAATAATAAGATTGTTTATAAGTATAGTATTAGCACATTACAAAATGTATAGAAAACTTTCAAAAACATTATATAATAATTTTGTTTAACACCAGTCATTTTCTGTTGTAAAATGTGTCTAAGATTTTTGTGAGAGGTTTGCTACGAAACCCAAGGAACAGTAAGAATACTGTATTCAAAAAACCAGTTACTACATTTTTAATTATACAAAAAAAAAATTAAACTTTAATATTCCAGAAATTTTAATGGGTTATAGTTTGTTATTTTAAACTTTGATTTTGGGACCACAATTGCAAAACACAACATTCTCCATTCCCTATTACTTCATGATAGTGTTGCTCAATTTACCGACTTATCAGTTAGTGTAGGTGGGGCCACATTTTGAGTAATTTTATTTTATTGCCTGTTACAACTTTCAAGGTCTCGTATGGCCAAGTGATTAGGGCGCTTGACTCGCAATCTGAGGATTGTGGGTTTAAATTCCCGTCCCATCAAACATGCTCACCCTTTCAGCCATGGGGATCTTATAATGTGATGGTCAATCCCACTATTCATTGGTAAAAGAGTAACCCAATAGTTGGCAGTGGGTGGTGATTACTAGCTGAGTTTTTAAAAATATTGCCTTGTAAAATTGAGAACTTAACTGATATACTATTAAATATGGATTATTAGCTACCGTTTTATTCTATACTAATTGGTATAACATTAAAAAAAAGTTCAATAAAATTTTGAATGTAAATCACTAAAACCTCATGAAATGCTTAGTTAATG